TGATGGTGATGATGATGATGATGGTCCTGATGGTGATGGTCCTGATGATGATGATGATGATCGTCCAGATGAAGGACGAACATGAATATGATGCTGATGATGACGATGACGATGACGATGACGATGACGATGGCGATGACAATGATGTTGTTGATGATGATGATGATGACGATGATGATGACGGTGACGACAGCAATGTGATGACGACGGTGATGATGATTACTAATAAGAAGAATCAAAGAAGAAGATGGTGAATAATAAGAAGAAGGTGAAGCTGAAGATGAAGATGATGATGAAGACGGTCATGATGATGATGATGATTAAGAAGAACATGATGATGATGGTGGTGATGATGACGACGATGGCGATGGTGGGGATGATGAAGATGATGAGGATGATGAGGATGATGACGATAAGGATGAGAATGATGATGTTGATGATGATGATGAGGAGGAGGAGGAGGACAGCTGCTCATATCAAACCATTATTGGTGTTTTTGTTATGCTGTCGCTGTGTCGTCGTGGCCACACTTGCTTTTGTAGTTGCGGCGTTGTATAGCGACTATGCCCATCTTCCTATGGCCATCAAACGTCTTCCTTCAACTCTTCTGCCCTTCCCAGCGGCTCTGTAAAGAGAGCCAAAGGGAGGATGTTGAAGGAGATGCCCAGGAGCGGGAAGCCTCGGGCAAACTCGGAGCCAACGCTCAAAACACTGGCAAGGACAAGGCGAAACGTGGAGATGCATGTAAGTGTATGTATACGTATACTTCTATGTGTAACTACCCAGGTATATGGTACAAATGCATACAATACGCACATATGTACAAACCTATGTATATATATATTTTTAATATATGTGTGTGTGTACACATATGTATACGCTGGGCAGGTGTATACCTATGTGTGTTTTACATATGCATATGAATACGAACTATAGTACCAAGCCCATTTGGAGAACATGTTGTTTTATCGGGCGATGGCCATACTCATACATGGCAGGGTCTGCTTGGCTCTCTCCGTGGGGCTTGCTTCATGGCTGCTGCTTGATTATTAGTTGAGCTCCTCTCGTACTAGACAGACCTTTAACAACTTAGAACAGGGTATTCAGCGTTTGTTATACTGCTACCATATAGGGTTCAGGTGTCCATGGTACTATAAATATAGTAAGGAAACCCCAAAATGGTATTGGTAATTATTTAGGCCCCTTTACTAGTTTTGCCGATGGTCCAGAACCCCAAGCAACCTTACATGAAGCAGCCTCCAACCCAGAATCACCCATCTAAACCCTTATAGAACCATTGTAGACCCTGAAGACCCTATATAAGAGCCCTTGTCAGAAGCTGAATAGACGTTATGAAAACCCCGAAACTTGAAAGAACCCTTATAGAACCCCTAAACAAGTAAACCCTACTCCCTAAACCGTCAACCCTACACGGGCCCTAAACCCTAAGCCCTAAACCCTAAACACTCTGAACCTTAAGCCCTACCCTAAACCCTAAACCCTAAACCCCTAAACCCCTAGCCCAAGGCCCCTCGAGACCCGAACAACCTAAAACTCCAAACCTCAAGGACACTTTTCTGGGTTTAAGCTACCATAATCTGTCTGGTGCTTAGTAGGGAATGGGGTTTAGGGTTTAGGGTTTAGGGTCTAGGGTTTAGGGTCTAGGGTTTAGGGTTTAGGGTTTAGGGTTTAGGGATGGGGGAATGGGTTATAGGGACTACTATAAGGGATTCTTAAGGGACTATCATAGGGATCCATTCCCCCATTCCCTACTAAGCACCAGACAGTAATTGGGATCTATAGTAAATAATGCGGTTTCCTTATCATAGTATCTTAACTTAAATTCCCAAACAGCAACCCAGTTTTCTCGCGGTCCTGGATTTCGGTCCGAAGTGAGCCCTTCACAATATGATTTTTTTTTCAGCCCCTTAGGGCCTTTGCGGTTTAGGCTCAGGGTTTCGGGGCTACGGTACAAGACGCCTTTCCTTTCCCTCAGTGTTCACAAGGCGTGCTCAACATACCAAAGGCTCTCAAAGCCCTATTCAAAAAGAGCATACGACCCCTTCCCTCAGTGATCAAAAGGAGCGCTCAACATACAAAAGGCTCTCAAAGAATTATTCCAAAAGAGCCTACAACAACCCTAAACCCTAAACCCTAAACCCCCATCTTTGGACAAACCCTAACAGGAGCGCTTTGCAGGCTTTGCTCGTCCGAGCCACGCTCGCAAATCCAGCTCGGATCCGGCGTGTTCTGCCGAATGATTCTCCTTGGGTTAAAGGAAGCTACAGGTGGGGAGTTTAGGGTATATAGTGCTTCTATAAGGCTTCTATAAGGTATATAGACCTCCTATAAGGCTCCTCTGACGGTAACTACCCACCTGAGAAATGTCCTAAACTGCTTTCTTTTGATGTTTAGTGTAGGGGCCTGGGTTCGTTTAAGGATTCCTTCAAAATATTCTACCAGAGTGACGGTAAGGGATGCCACAAGTGTCTAATGTAAGGGCCAGAGTAGTTTAGAAGAGGGTTTGGGGGCACAGTACAACTGTCTCAAGTGCGTTGAGGATAAGATGCGTTTCGGTTAGTAGGGGTTTGGGGCTTAGGGCTTTCGGGCTGAGGGTTTATAACTTGGGGCGTGTTGGGCTTAGCGGATTTCGGGAGTTTACTGTGCTGTTCAGGAAGTTTCATTCAAGTTACCACAATGGGATGTAAAGTATAATAGGGTTTCCTTATAATAAACCCTAAACCCTAAACCCTAAACCCTAAACCCTAAACTCCTTTCTTTGGTCAGGGTCTCGCATACTTTCATCGGCCGGCGCAGGGTTTAGAGCGTTAGTCCCCCAAACCCTAGAAACCCTAGGCCCCCCCCCAAAGCACCCGAAAACTGTCCTAAATCCGGCTTAAAGGATCATGGGACTTAGTAAGTAGGGTTAGAACGAAGGTAACTATACTTCTATGTACTTATCACCCCCAATTCAGGGAGTTATAACCTGACTTACTAAGTCCTAAACCCTAAACCCTAAACCCTAAACCCTAAACCCTAAACCCTAAACCCAATAAACCCAATTAAGGGACGTATAACCTTACTTACTAAGTCCCATGATCCTGCAAGTAGCTAACACCAGGGGCCTCGGGCCGCAGGTCCTCGTCATGTGGGTTTAGGGTTTAGGGTTTAGGGTTTAGGGTTTAGGGTT